TCCCTGGAGAAGTATATCATGCTTGGTAAGGTGGAGGGTCGATGAAAGAGGGAAAGGCCTTCGATGAGATGGATTGACATGGTGGCTGCGACAATGGCTCAAGGATAGCAAGGATCATGGAGCTGGCATGGGATCGGGCAGTGTTTCATTCTGCTGGGCATGGGGTCACTATGAGTCAGAAGCAACTGGACAGCACCTAATAACAATAGCAACAACAACATGGATAAAATTGGTTTTGATCTTCATGTTAATTTTTGAGCAACTACTTCTAAACACCAGATTCAAATTCAGGGACATTTTTAAAAAAAATTATTTTAAAAGAAATGAATACCCCCTACAGCAGAATAGTGTTTGTGTGGAATGGATACAGCTACATTTGTCCTCATTGATGATATCTCTAGAGTTTGGGTTGTTTAACTCAAGAGACTACTATGAATAAAAAGAAAAAAAAAAAGGTTTTGGTATCAACATCCTCTCCTATAATGACTCAAAAGTCTTCCTAACTTCTACCTTCCTAATATGGCTATGATGCCACTGGATGTCCAGTCATTTTGCCAACCTCCCTCTACCATATGGTAGAGATTGAGCTGCAATCACATGGACAAACAGGTGGATCATACCAACATTGAGTACTAAGAGCTGAAGCACATTGTTCCTCCATTGTTATGGGTATCATTATCATTATTATTACTATTATTCTTATTTTGATGCATGATCATAATTTTTGAGAGCAATTTTCTTATTTGAATTCTTCTGATGGTTGATATTAGGGATAAATAACAATATTACATATATTTCATCTTTTCCTTATTAATCTTTTTCCTACAGAGTTTAAATGATTACTTGTGAGAGGTATTAAAACATACATAGATTTGGCAAGCTAGCACTGAAGCATTAAATTTGAAGCCAATCTGATAAAATTCATATCATCTAGTACTCTTGTTTTAAAGATAAAGTAAATTGAGATGATCCTCAAGAATTGAAGTAGTAGAACATCTGGATCAAAGACATACATCTACTAATTCTTATTTATGGCTTTTTCACTATTTGTTTATAGAAGACCCTGATAAAATATGACAGTCTAAAGAATTTTCATTCTAAACTCATATTTCATTTCTTAATTATTTAGATATCAAAACTAAGCATTTTCTGTTTTCTAATATTATTCCTATAAAATAATTCCTCATCTCCCTGTTTGGCAAACATTTTATATTAGAATTGAGAAACAGTAACTCAAGAAGAGAAATTGTAATTTCATTTTATGCTTTTCTGCCTTCTCTAAAATGCCCTATACCTCAAATATCAATAACTTTCATTTCTATCACTTTCTACTTCTACAGATTAGATATCATACAATATTCTATATAAAAGTTTGTTTTCTTTAAAGTGGAATCTATAACATTCTGAAATATAATTTGACAACATGTAACTTTAAGTGCTTGAAAGACACAGGATATGTGGTTTAGTGCCTAAGGCATTTGACTACTAACCAGAAGCCTGGCGTTTCAAACCCACCAGCAACTCCTTGGAAGGAAGATTGGGAAATCTATTTCTGTAGAGATACCACCTGAGAAAGCCAAGGAAGGGTTGCTATGAGTCGGAATCGACTCGATGGCAGTGAGTTTGGTTTGGTTTGGTTTATAGTTTTTATTGCTGAGCAAGCAAAATTCATGTTTATGTTGTGGACTCTGTCAATCTCCAGTTAACTTTTAAATTCACAACACTGTCAATGGTCTTGTTGTTGTTGTTCTTTTTTTTTTTTTTAGAATAATATGATGTTCTTGTTGTTGTTGTTATGTGCCATCGAGAATAATATGATACACATCTTTATTACTTTTGCTTTGCTTCTTCTACGATAATCATTAAAATATTTGATTTGGGCATTCATAGTTTTCAAAAACAACGAAACCTTCAAAACAGCACCCTAATTGCCATTGATATATTAATTAAAATGGTGTTGTATGTTCATTTACTTTCATTAATTTCATTCATAATGAATGGCTTAGTCATGTCACTCATATCTTAATCTCTCAGCTTGAGTTTGTTCAATTGATACTGACTGCTAATGGCAGAATATAGAAGGAACATAAATTGATAATTTGAGGACGAGACGTGACTATCCTGAACTGCACAAATTTCCCTGACTTGAATACTTTCATATTTAGCGACCACGCCTTTCATCCCACAGCCAATTGCAGTGATTGCACTATCTCATAAATCATACCAGTGTGTAAGCAATTGAAGGCAAATACATTACTGAAAGGATGTTTTAATTAGATAAAGCAAGGGGAGGGGTATAAGGTTGAGACAGAAGACCCAGAAGTTAGGGATCATCCTAGAAATGCTCAAAACATTATATGTTTTCCCCACTTTGTTTAAGATTGACAATTCCTGAAGGTGGTGCATGATACTACAGGTGTAATCTGAGAACATTCACAATGCTACTTCTTTAAGTGCACAGAAAATAGTGTGCAGGACCTTATAGCTTGTATATTCCATGCAATGTTTGTAAAAGAGCACAGAAATACAAAGGGATAGAAAAAAAATTACAGAATTAAAATCTAATTGGGAAAAATACAATGATTAGAAAACCAAAAATGAATCAGGGCATAAGGATAAAAGACAGCCAAACATTTATTCTTCTAGGTTTAGAGTATCTTCATTTTTTTCAAAATTTTTTCAAAACCTTCTCAATTATTATGACTATCTTTGATATTAATTGGATCAGATTGTGACTCTAAAACTCTAATAACTTCTGACGATCTTCATGGTTTTATTTTATTCCACTGTGAATTATTTTAAATAAGTCAACCTGTGACTGAATCTCAGATAAAACAAGGCTGGTCTTTATATACCTATATTTCAACTATACAACTTATGAAGAAAGATTCTCCCCTCCACCTTGGTGTCTTTCAGAATTTATCACTGTATCCCAGGTTTCTGCCTCATTTGGTGACCCTAAGGGTAGAAATCCCCAAGTCAGGCCTATGTCACTGCCTATGAATTCAGGTGGACCACAGCAGGTGGCATTCACCTGGATGATTAGGGATTTCTTGGCATCCTTGTCTGTTAAATATTGTCTTCTTACATTTGCAGTCCGTTTAAACTTTCAGGAGTAAAGCCTTTATTCCTTTTTATTCCAACTCTGGTTAGTTGGCTGCTTTTCTCTTCAATTTTATTATGAAAAGTGTCAACTAGTTTGCCACAAATGGCAACATGTCCTGTACTTTGTTCTGTTTCTTCCTGGTAGAATCAATAGTCCCTGAAATAAAATCTCCTTCTCCAAGGATTTCAACTCCACTGACTCCTATAAAAAGCAGAATGGATTGTGCTTTCAAAGTTAAAGATTTTATTTTAAGAACTTTGAAACACGTTCTGCTTTCCAGCAACCCCAAGGATACTTGGGAACTGCAAGACTGACAAGACATGACATTCCTCTGTTACTCTTATACCCTAACCAGCTTGGTGGACGGAGGTGCGGCCATCCCCAACTCCCCCCTACCTTCTGGGACCACAGGAACTCCATCACAGTCTGTGTGCTCAGACGGAGCCTGGGTGCCCTGCCCTGTCCTCCACCGATTTTTTTTTTCTCTTTTTTTATTTTTCTTTTTCACTTTCTTTTTCTGGTGATTAGTTTGCTTGTATTTGTCTGTTTTAAAACAACTAATATTATTAATACATTTGTCCTTTTTATTATTATTCTTAATCTTCCCCTCCCAGGTCCTACTTTTCAGCA